AAAAAAAAAGAAAAAAAGGGGAGGAAAAAAAAGGGAGAAAGGCCCAAGAAATCTGAGCTGGAATGTGGTTTTTTTATTATTTTTTTTTCTATTCTGAAAGCCAAAGGGACAGATTTTGGAAGGAGGTGAGCTGGAGGAGATGAGTCCTCAGGCAGTCCTGACGCTCAGGGGTGGACAGAGCGTGCTCTGAGGGCAGAGAGGGGCAGGGAGGGAGATGTCACCTTTCTGGGGGATGACACGAACACCGCCATCCCTCCCCCTCCCTTCTTCTCCTGCAGGTTTAACACGGGCTCTGGCACGGGCGTCATCACCAGCAAGGTCCGTGTGGAGCCGGGCAAGTGGCACCAGCTGGTGGTGAACAGGAACCGGCGCAGCGGGATGCTCTCGGTGGATGGGGAGCCCCACGTGAGCGGGGAGAGCCCCCCGGGCACCGACGGGCTCAACCTGGACACGGACCTGTTCATTGGGGGAGCGCCCGATGACCAGATGGCCGTGTGAGTGTGGGGCTGTCACTGCTTCGGGGGGGGCTGGGGGGGCTTCTGAATTGATTATCTGTCTGTATGGGTGAGGTACCTCGGTGGAAGAGAGACACTGAGGGGCTGGAGTGAGTCCAGGGAAGGGAATGGAAACAGGGAATGGTCTGGAGTATCCTGTGAGGAGCTGGAGGGGGCTCAGCCTGGAGAAAAGGAGGCTCAGGGGGGGACTTTCTGGCTCTGCAATCCCTGACAGGGTGGGGGAGCTGGGTTCTGCTCCCAAGGAATAAGGGACAGGAGGAGAGGGAACGGCCTCCAGCTGTGCCAGGGGAGGGTCAGGTTGGGCATCAGGAGGAATTTCTTTACAGAAAGGGTGCTCAGGCATAGGAAGGAGCTGCCTGGGGAGGGAGTGAAGTCCCCACCCCTGGAGGTGTCCAAGGAAGGCCCTGGGCTGGGGGACAAGGTGGGGACGATCAGGCACAGATCGGACTCGACGATCTCAGAGGTCCCTTCCAACCTAAACCATTCCGTGATCGGTGCCCTGTGGGGGAGCACAGCCTGACCCAGACGCCTGGAGCGACCCAAAAACCCCCAGCTGACCCCGTGCTCTGCCCCCCCCCTCAGGGTGGCAGACCACACCACGGCCACCACGGGCCTCAAGGGCTGCATCCGCCTCCTGGACGTGAACAACCAGATGTACGACCTGAGGGAGAAGGGCAGCGACGTCCTCTACGGCAGCGGGGTGGGCGAGTGTGGCAACGACCCCTGCCACCCCAACCCCTGCCACCACGGGGGCATCTGCCACGTCAAGGAGGCAGAGATGTTCCACTGCGAGTGCCTCCACACCTACACCGGTACGGGGAGGGGGCTTCTGGGGGGGTCCTGTGGGATCCCAGAGCCTCTGGGGTCAGCACAGTAGTGTCAGCAGTGGGATAGAGGGAGAGGTGGGGGATGAAGCCTCATGCAGTGCAGTCGGTAGATTTGGGATGTGCCCCCATTCACGTGCACGGAAGGGCCAGGACCTGTTTGGTTCTGGTGCACCAAATAACATCCCCTCTCACTTCAGGGGCGTGGTTGGCCAAGGGCATCACCTGCCATTTTTTGAGGGGCTTCCTGGGTCACGGGAACCCAGCCAGAGGCCAGGGAGGTATCAGGAGGCGGCAGGGGTGTTGGTCTCTGGCTGTTGGTTGGTTGGTTGGTGGCACTGGGATGACGAGCTGCCTGTCCCGCCGCAGGGCCCACGTGCGCCGACGAGAGGAACCCCTGCGAGCCCTCGCCCTGCCACGTCTCTGCCACCTGCCTGGTGCTGCCAGAGGGAGGTGCCCTGTGTGCCTGCCCCATGGGCCGGGAAGGAGACTTCTGCGAGCGAGGTGGGACGGGAATGGGGCTGGGGAAGGTGGGGGGATGGAGTTCAGTTCCCCCAGCTGGGGTGATGGCCTCACCTGCTGGGGCACTGGCTGAGGAAGCTGCTCGGCCTCCTCCCCCTCACAAAACTCCCTCGTTTGTGCCCAGTGACGGAGCAGGACCACACCATGCCCTTCCTCCCGGAGTTCAATGGCTTCTCCTACCTGGAGCTGAACGGGCTGCAGACCTTCATTCCTGACCTGCAGTAAGCGCCAGGGAATGGGATGGGGGGCCTCTGGGGGCATCACCTGCCTGCCTGGTGGGTAAAGAGACACCACAGAGCAGCATCCCGGGCAGGCAGAGTTATTCCAAGGGCTCAGTGCATGGGGATGGAGGAACAGAGCACGAGGGGCAGCGGGGTTTGGAGGGTATCCACAATCCTTCTCTCCTCAGGGACAAAATGTCCATGGAGGTTGTGTTCCTGGCCAAGAACCCGAGTGGAATGATCTTCTACAATGGCCAGAAGACAGATGGCAAGGGGGACTTCGTGTCCCTGGCCTTGCACGACGGGTACCTGGAGTACAGATACGACCTGGGCAAGGGGGCAGCTGTGCTCAGGTGAGGAGGTGGGGGCAGCCCTGACTGCTCAGGGGAGCTTTGTCAGTGCTCTGCTGATGGCAGAGCTCTCACCTGTGTGTCTCCTCCTCCCTTCTCACCACCCAGGAGCAAAGAGCCAGTTCCCCTCAACACCTGGACAAGCGTCCTGTTGGAGAGGAACGGGCGCAAAGGGGTCATGAGGATCAACAACGGCGAGAGGGTGATGGGGGAGTCACCGGTGAGTTGGCGGCTCAGAGGGGAGCTCTCTGGGCTTCCAGCCCTGCTCCTGTCGCTTGTGGAATGAGCTGAGGGTTCCCCAGGCTCCTGGGCTTGGAATCCCTGTGGCACATGGCTTCAGGGCTGGAGGAGGAGTGGGCAGGACCCGGTGGGGGGAGAGGAGGCTGCAGGCAGAGCATGCCTGTCTCCCCGCAGGACGGCAGCTGCACACCTCTCCCAGCCCTTCCTCCCTCCCTGTGCCCTGCCCACAGGGCTGCAGAGCCCTTGCCAGGTTTCAGGAATGCCTTTGAGCCCCCTCACACACACACATACACAGAGACACACACACACATCCCTCCCCACTCTTTATTTCAGATCCTCGACTGTGCCCGTATCGGGGCAGGTACGTGAGGCACCTGCGATACCTGTGGCTTTGAGCTGTGCCCTCGATGGTGGGGGCTCTTGAGAGCTCAGCCAGGAGGGAGTCACAGAGCAGGGAAAGCCCCTTGGCACTGCTGCTGCTGAATCCAGCAGTGCCTCCTCTCTGTTTCCCAGCTGGCAGCTTCCCCCTCCAACTTCTCCCCATCCCCTGTCCCTCTGCACTTCTATCTACAGAACCCTGGGGTTCCTTTTACCCCCCTTTCCAGCTGGGAAGCTGATACTGCAGGAAGAG